ACCATCGATCAAAACACTGGCTAGTCTTGTGCCATCTTCACCATTGCTGCCATGCTTGAGTTGCGTGGTTGTAGCCACGGGGTCACGCCATCTCTGTGAGGTTCTTCCCATTTGCCACTGACCTCACTGCTTTATTTAACCACGCATGAGGTCCTTCCCCAGGGACTGGTCCTTCCTGATCACATATCCAAAGAATGTGAGAGGAAGCTTCGCCATCCTCACGTTCTGGCTGCACTTCTTCCAGGAGGGATTTGTGTGTTCTTCTGGAAGTCCAGGAGTCCCTGCAGTATTCTTTACCAGCACCGTAATGCACTCAAATGGATCAGTTCTTCCAGGAGAAGGTAACCCATCTCCTATGTAACCTCTTGCAAGAAAAAGAGAAACAGAGAATGTTGCCCAACTTGTTGGACAACACTGTTAGACTCTTGACAGCCAAGCTAGAGAATGAGCACTATAAGACAACGAAAGCATTGGCACCGCTTGCTTAGGAAACTAAGCAAAGCTCAGGATGGTGACCCTCTATAAGCCATGGTGAGAGATTTCAAAATGAAGTGGGTCAGAGTGGACCGGTGCTTTCATTCCTCAGATGGGTTAGAATGGGGGCGAGTTATCCCAGAAAGTCTCGTCTCTGGGTGGAAGCCAGCACCCAGGCAGTCAGGCATACATGCACACCCAGCCCGGAATGGAGCCAAGCATGGGAGATACTTTTTTTTTTTTAGATAAAATTAAAGAAAAAATAATCACCTCATAGGACTAGACTGTGAAGTGGAAGAGACGAATGTTTATCAAGCCAATGCCTAAGGAAATGCATCATCCTGAATCCTATGAGACTGCCATTTCTAGGTCAAACAATGAGTTACTATTGGCAATAGTAGGTGGTCCAACCTAATATGATTCCAAACTGGGGGGTGTGCTGTAATAGAGAGGGACCTAGTGGGGTGTGTAGCAGACAGGCCTGGCCCTGGCTGTGCCAGGCAGGGAGTGTCAGAACTATCCAACCCCTTCAGTGGCACATTACACGGATCGTCATTGCTCGCTGCTACAAGGCAGGGACCGGCTGCTGCACCATGGGCCCTAAGGAGCAGCCGAGTGATGTGGGCACTACAAGATGGCCGACTTTCACTAGGAACAGGAATGGCCCTGGGGGCTAAGCAGAGTGTTCCTGGGAAGGTCTTCCAATACCAAAAGCCCTCATTGGGGCATTTAGTGGATTGATTGTTAAAAACTAAGGATGTGAATCTGGATGTGTGAACTCTGATTGCTGGTGAAGATTATTGAATCCCTTGGACTGCCAGAAGTGCGGCCAGAATGCTCCTTAAAAAGCGAAGATGACAAGACTTCCTCTCACGTATTTTGGACGTGTTACCAGGAAGAACCAGTCTGTGGAAAAGGATCATGCTTGGTAAAATAAAGGGCCTGGGGGGGAAAAAAAGGAAGCTCCTTAAGGAGATGAAATGGTTGCACAGTTTGTGCAACAATGAGCTCAAACACAGGGAAGCTTGCGGGGAGGCACAGCACCCGGCTATGTTTTGTTCGACCGTGCGTAGCAGCGTCTCTGTGAATTGAAGCCAACTCCGCAGCACCTAGCAGCAAGGTAGCTGATGCTTGAGAGCCAGAGGCAATTCTTGACAGGTGGCTAAAGACCAGAATCTGCAGGGCTTCCTTGACCACATAAAGGGGTTTTGGTTTTTATTTAAGTTAACAAACAAACAAAGTTTGATCTGAAAAACAAAACCAACACACCAATATTTCAGGGTAAGATGAGGATATTGTGGACCCAAACACAATATTTTAAAGCACCGGATTTTAAAGTGGCAATGAAGAGATTGGAAACATGTTTAGAGCATTAATAGAACCCATGCTTGTTCCCTTTGTCCTCTGCTGAACTGACCCCAAAGTGCATGGTTGGATGTTGTGATATTGTTGGGTGCCATTGAATGGAGTCGACTTGTAGAAACCAATGTCACAGAGTAGAAATTTCCCCGTAAGATTTCCTAAGATGCCATCTTTATGGGAGAAGACCACCAGGTCTTTCTCCCTGGGAGCTGTTGGTGGATTTTGAACTACCTACCCTGCAGTTAGCCCAGTGCCTAAGCCCCACTTCCATAGGGTCTTGAACCACGGCGGAGAGAAGGCAGCATATGTCTGTTTGCTGTGCTCTGGTTGCGGGAACTGAAAGAGCACAGAGCTACGCACACTGCTTGGAAGGCAGTGGGAGAGGAGAGGTGGACAGGAGACCTAAGAGCTCTAGAAACTCCTTTGCAGATACCCTCGAACCAGGGCAGCCTTTAGATTTCATCAGTTGGAGAAATCATTTTCCATCAGTTCCTTTTCATTGTAAATCAAAAGTCTGTCTACCCACTGGGCCTCCACTCAATACTCCCTCAATGCAAGAATATTTTCTTCTATTAAATTGGCATTCTATGATGCTCACTTTCCCAACACAACTGCTGAAAACAAAGTGGGTGAATAAGCTGATGGTGCTCGGCTATCAAAAGATATAGCGTCTAGGGTCTTAAAGGCTTGAAGGTAAACAAGC